TGATGGTGTAGTTTTTAAGTTACAGCAGTACCAAAAACACCACTAGAGGTCTTTGTAAGATCATCTTTTTATTTTTATTTAAATCCTTGTATTATTTTGTGCCTACTCGTTTCTTTAATAACTTATTTTGCACAGTGCTGTATTTATATTGTATTTTTAAGTTAATGTCACTTGTTTACATTTATTATTTTGGGAGTATTAATAGGTACTTTATGTAAGCTATTTAAATTGTATTCATATGTTCAGTTCATTTTTTTGTATTTGTTTCTTTAATTCTTTCTAAGTATTTTGAATGTGCAATTGCTTTATTTAAATAAAAGAATGTCCAAGACAAAGCTATTACGTTTCTTATGAGTATATACACTAGCAGTGGAATTTACTGCGATGCAACGGGGCGCCAAATTGGTTAGGGCCGGGCCTGGTCCGAGTCACCAAAGAATAATGAGCGGAGTCTGAATCAAATCCCCATTATAACAGTCAGAGTCATCAATGTTTACATTAAACACAACTGACACAGCTCTCACTATTTTATATTAATCTAAACTTTCTAACAGTGTATTGCATCACCATATTGCTCAGCAATCTGATACATAAAAACCATTTATAGAAAGGTGGAGTGTATGCTTTGATAGGAGTGTGCCGGATACAGCATGATGCAGGTGAACAGGTTTTAATGTCAATAGCTTATGCCAAATTATTATGGCCTATTGCACACAAAAGGTTTGAGTCAGAGTCTCCAACTTCCAAGTCTGAATACACTCACTGTTTGCACCCAAGTCCTTAAATTCTGGAGTCATGGACTTGAGCACTACAACACTGACTCGCACTAATGATAACCTAGCTTTTTATTGCACATTTGAACCTATTTGAGTGACAAGGTGAAAAGAAAAAGCAAGAAGTAGCTGATGATTAATGTTTTATTACAAGTTACAAAGTTGTTGTTGAGTCAGTTTGTCCTGTTGAATTAAGCTGATATACAGTCCGTGATAAATGATTCACACTGTGCTGTTCGCCAACATCAACTTTGACCAGAATGACCAGCCATTTGGCACATCTACAATTTATGTTTTTAAAAGTGCATTTAAGATGAACATAGTTTCTCATGCTGGTACCTTAATGTCATGTATCATCACAGGGTGTGACATTTTAAATTTAGTACTATTCTATGAAAATGTAAACATTATATTGACTAAGTATCCATGTGTACTGTAGAAGTTGTGATTTGGGTTAATTCAATCAGCACCACTGCAGTGAGGACATTAAAATCATTTTGCCACTGCCTTGGTAATATTTTACCAACAAAAAAATAAGAGAAGCATTTCATTTCTTTTACATAGATGAATAAGATGACTTAATAACAATAATAGGTGGCATCTGTTAGCTTTGGTCTGTTCATTATTTACACACATGTAGTTCTTCAAGTTCAGACTTGGTCTCTGGCAGCTCTCCCGTCACCATAAGGTGTAGTAAGTAAATATACATATTCTCACTCAAACAAAATGTCCATCAAAAGAATATAAAATGTTAGGAAACAGTATCAGATGTCTTTTGTGAAACTGTAATGTAGTGTTCCTGAAGGCTGCTGTCATTTCCTATACAATGCCCAGTGCAACACGATTTTTCAGTGAGAAAAAAAAAAAAAGACATCACTCGGCCACTGATAGCCTCTATACACGTGACTGCCAAATGATCAGTTGTTGGAGGCAACACGTTTTAGTGTCCGGCCCTAAGAGCCCAAAATCCCAGGTCAGAAACATCTGATCAGTGTCGCAGCTACATTGTTCGTCCAGCATTAACTCCTCTTCTCTCCAGACTGTGATTGACAGTTTCTGTGTCAGTGGTCGAGGAGGTTCTCTGACTCCATCTGCAGCACTGCCTCAACACTGTCTGTATATCTGAGGCCCTGCAGATCAGAGGCCTGGAGAACCTCCATAACGGATGGCTAAAGGAGTACATGAGAACAAAAAGAGAGAAAACATTTGCTTTGTTTCATTGGGCTACTATAAGAGCTAAAATTCCAGCCCAAACAAAACATAAGCTTACCTGCAACCTGGAAAAAACGAGCTGCACATTTCGTAGTTTGAACTGCCTCAGCAGGTCCCTGAGCTCGTTGATCACAGTGTAATCTATGATGCTGACATGATGGCAGTCCAGGACCACCGACCGTGGAGGAGACACTGGGGGGAAGGCGGGTTAGCAAAAAGTCTTACTGTTACATAAGTTTCCTGTATACAAAGACAGTCTAGCAAACAGTCCTTACCCTGCAGAGCCCGAGTGTGTATGATGTGGCTGAGATATTCTGTGGCAGGAAAGCTGATTCCACTGCTCAACTCCATCACCAATACGCCATGATCAGACACCTACACACAACACGTCATTAAACAAAAAGACCTCCTCGGTTATGTTAGATACTATGAAAATCCAGCAGTCCTTTGTACTTTCTGTTGTACCCACTTTTCCTTTGAATTCTCCATCGCATTCTACTTCAGTTATTGAATGCCTGGGTTTTAACCGTGGAAGAGCAACACTGTCCTGTTGACTTAAGGCTGGTCTACTGACGCTGCAATTAACCAAGAAACTGTTAAGACGAGAAACTCTGCCTTATTTGTGACTGACATGACTAGTGATTCAAATGTCACATCTATTAAACATTTTTAAAAAGCCCTTGTTCAAGACACCAAAATGTAATTATTAACTTTCATCTTTCAAAAAGAAAACCAAATTTCTTTAAACTGTGCTGCATTACAAATACCTTCATGTGACCCAGACAGGTGGAGGATATGGATAAAATGTACCACGATATACTGTATGAAGTTTTGTGATGTCAGTCGATACTATGAAAAGAAAAAAAAAAAAAATCAAACTGAGACACTCGGCTGTTCTTAACTGAGGCCAAGTTTTGTGAATCCATACTGCATTTAATCAGTGCTGTGCTGTAGGGGTCATGGATGAGTGGGAGTCTTTTATGATGATACTGTTGAGATATCATTTTTAGATGTTTATTGCCACAGTGATTGAGAAGTGCATCACATGGGCTGATATTAGGATAATCAATTCATCAATAGACGTCATAGAGACATAGTTTTTACTGTCATCATAAATCCAGTCTAATCACCTTTATTTGGCCAAGTATGTTACACACATGGAACTTGTTTCCGGTACAGAACTGAGGCAGCCATCTGCGGCCCCAACTAAGCCGATGGGGGGGCAACTTAGGGGTTGAGTGTCTTGCCCGAGGACACTTTGACACGTGGACTGCAGGCACTGAGATTCGAACCTCCCACCCTCTGGTTGGGAGATGGCTGCTCTACGCACTGGATTCAAAGTCCAGCGTGCTAACTCAATGATTCTCTTCTACACCACACAAGTATTATACTAAAAAAAAATTATAACAGTGTTAACAATCTTACACAATTACATTCTTAAATAATAATCTTCTACACCACACAAGTAATATACTAAAAAATTGTTACAAAGTGTTAACATTCATACACCACACCCACAATGTTTCATCTAATTAATCATTAAGCCTGTTCTTGCATATATCTTGATTGACACATACCTTTATATTTATGTTTAAACTCGTCAATTCTATTACTATTTTTTTATGTCTACACTTAAATTATTCCATAGTTTTACCCCACTAATGGAAATACAAAATCTTTTTTTGGTTGTACGTATAGCATGAATTTTATAATTTAACTGACCCCTTAAATTGTATCCCCCTTCCCTTTCATTAAATAGTTTTTGAATTCCACCAGGTAATAAATTGTTCCTGGCTTTATACATAAACACAGACGTCTTATCAGTCAGTTAAAGCAGCAACGTCTATAAAGCCAAAATCCCAAATACTATACAACGTAACAAGCACTTCCCTGCTGC